CCGCCATTTTTTCTCTCCCGCTTGCTATTAGCGATAACTCGAGGAGCATATCTTTTTAGTATTTTGAAGCTATACAAAAACAATAATATCAAAGCCGTGGTCAAATGCAGAAGTGCAGGTGTTGTTGTGCTTGGTGGCCGACGAAAAAAGTCAAAGCGAGCTAGATGGAGGATTGGAGGGTGGTTTGGACACGGCCACTGCTCTACTTGAATCATTTATAGAAGATGGTGAGTGTTTTCTATCTTTAAACATATTTTAAGTTACTCATCCAATCGGTTCTGAACATATTTTTAACTAACAAAAGAGGCTGACGCCATAATAGGACAACGTCGGTGCTACGATGCTAAGCTAATTTGCATGAACGCTAACTGTCCTCCGGTCTCGTTTCTCACTGTATTTTATCCAGAACATATTTCAGCGCATGACGGTTCAACTCTAAACTCCACATTAAACCCTCCAAGCCTCCCGGCTTCTGCTCCATCAGCGGAGTCTGCACCTGACAGAGCTCCATCACAGCCCAGCTGCACCTCACAGAGCAGCACAACGCTGCAGCTTCTGTGCTCGGTAAGAACAGATGCAACATGTTCCACATCACTTTATTTGTGCCGATAAGGACTTGATTTTATTTTATTTTTAAAGTAAAAAAATAAAATGTTGAATGAATACTGAATTGGGATGAAATTATGTACACATGGTCCAAGTTACAGACAACAAAATGTAAAATAAAAACAGTAATAAGATCTAAGATATGAATTAAGAAAAATATCAACTAAAAAACATCTACTAATAAAACACTAAGCACTAATAGCAGTAAACAATCAAAACAATACGTCAAACAGCAACATGAACTTGAGTTTGTGCAGCCTTATGAATATCTAACCAGGATAATCACTGTGAAAAATCACATCATGTTGCTGCTGATCAGTTTCATGTTGCTGCTGATCTGTTTCTTGTTGCTGTGTTCATTCGTGCTCGTCTGTTCACACAGACTCATGTCCGTGCTGCTGTTCGGCGTATTGTGTTTATTGTTTTTATGCTATTAGAGCTTATCATATTTTTAGTTGACGTTTTTCTTAGTTCATATCTTAGATCTTATGACTGTTTTTCTTTTACATTTTATTGTTGGATGTAACTGGGACCCTGTGTACATAATTTTGATCCACCACATGTACCACATGTGGTGCGAATGACAATAAAGAATATCTATATCTGTATAATACTTTCTGATTCATATATCCATTGTTATTATTATATTATTTTCATTATTTTTAAATCAATTTATTTTTCATTTTCTTATTTTATCAGTTTCTTATTATTAATATATCTATTATAGCTGTTAGCTGCACCTTTCTTTGTTTTATGCATTTATTCAAAAACAGTATGTAGCTTGAATTAACCACCTTTTTCTTCTTTCTAGTCTAGAGAAAGAGAAAAGAGTCCAGTAAAGAAAAGTTTTATTTCATCACTGAATGAACATGAAGAACTGAAGCGGACACAGCAGGAACAACACTTGTGTCTTCTTCTGGATGAAGCCCGTGAGACAAGGGACACACAGATACACAATAATTAGTTGGAGGCAGTAGTTTTTATTTTTGTACATTTTTCACTTCTTACTTTTCTTATTAAACAATTTTTTTCTTAAGCGGTGTCCTTGAACATTAAATTTCCTAAACAAATTTTATAATGTTAAGTTCATAAAGTGTTTGTTTAAATTCATACTGGAAGTTGAGAAAAATTTCCAATTGCATTTGATCTTTAATGGATCCTAAGAAAATATTACTAGAATCTCTAAACTGTTATTATGTTATAAATGTTTTGGTTCTAGGATGAAGTGAAACAAAAACAGTCAAAAATTCAGAAAGGACAGTTATCAGTTATCAGTTATTGTTTATCGTCCGTACAGCTGTGGCCCCTGAGAGATTCAGCTGAAAGTCCTGGTGCACCTTTTATTTGAACCTGCAGAGATTTGAACAGCTGATCTGAAGCAAACAGGCAGGTGTTCACCTGAACTGACCACTGCTGCTGTTTTTGGTGGTCTCCTCCTTCGCCGTCCGTCCGACCGTCCGTCCATCCATCCATCCATCCATCCATCCATCCATCCATCCATCCATCCATCCATCCATCCATCCATCCATCCATCCATCCATCCATCCATCCATCATCTTCTGCTTCAGGGTTGTGGGAGCAGCATCTTCACCAGGGAGGCACAGACATCAACAGCCACCTCTTCAACTCTTCTAGGACCCCATGGTGTTCACGGACCAACTGACTATTTATTAATTAATATCCTGATGCTGCTCAATAATTCAGGTAGAAAAATCTAAAAAGTTAAGTCTGGTCCTCTGGACATTCAAAAAAACAAAACAAACAATACAGTTTATAATAAATAAACAATAAATTTTTTTGTTTTTTTGTTTTGTTTTTTGAATGTCCAGAGGACCAGACTTAACTTTTTTACATTAATAAGTAATAAATTTATGTTTTTAAATTTAATGAAAGACAAATCTTTAAAATTCAAGGACAAAATTTAATCTAATTGTTTTCAAGTCTGTATCTTATTGTAAAAGCAGTTTCAAAAATTACAGCACAGTGTGATGTTTTGTAATTTTAACATGAACCTTGTGCGTATCTGTAAATAATAAAAGTGAAGATATTTTTAATACATCTTTATTGTAAAAATCTATACTAAAATGAAAAACACATGGGTTCAAAGCAGCAGGGAAGGCAGTAAGGTAGGATTATGAATCAGGTTTATAAGTTACAGTTCATGAGGTACTCCATTAGAGCATGACATCGCTTCCACAACATCGTGTGACAAAACCTTCAGGGTGTTCTTCTTCTAATACGTTTAGTGGTGGCTAGTAAGTAGCTTAAGGGAGCACTACTGACACCAGGTGGTAAGACGAGTTTGATTCTAGTCCCCGCCTACAGAGCTGGTCCAGAAGTGTAAATGGAAACACAACAGACCCGAGCCGATCTGAACCGACCCGAACTGACCTGATCTGCACTGTGACAGTGGAAAAGGGGCATTAGTTTGTCGTAGAAGCATGAAATTTGGCACACTTGTCCAATTCCCCAAGATGCACAGAAAACCCTCTGGCACCAATGTTGTACGATAAACAGGAAGGAGGCCATTTTGGAATGCCGTCCCAAATTTCACACCTTTTTGGTGGTTTACAGCCTCCGCATTTGAACAAACTCCTAGGGATTTCGCTCAAATCGGTTTCAAACTTGGCCATTTTGGTCGAAAGGCATGGGGGACGCAAAGTTATCTAAACAGCTTGTTTCGGAGCATGCTGAAGGGGCGGAGCCAGAACTCAAAGTTTGACATCTCTCCATGAAAAACGAAATGCTAATGACTCCTACACGAAAAAAAAAACTTATGTAGCTGAAATGACAATAAAACCTCTGACTCTCATGAGGTCATGCCAAGGGCATTCCCAATGTGAGACAGGAAAAGAATGTTATGAACGAGAACCAAATTATACTGCTGTTTATCTGATATTGTTCTTGTTAATCTAAGCTTTGATAGGGCCTAATTAATAATAATAATAATAATAATAATAATAATAATAATAATAATAATTATTATTATTATTATTATTATTATTATTATTATTAATTCATTAGATAAGGCCTAATTAATAATAATAATAAATAATAACAATTATTATTAATAATAATTCATTTGATAAGGCCTAATTAATAAGGCCTCATTAGGCCTCCGAAGGTCTAATGAGCGACGTAGTTTTAAAAGACAAAAGAAGATGCCTGTGTCTTCACACAAGAATAAACATGTTAAATAAACTGAAGGCATCAAGACTGTAACATCAAAATGATTAAGGTAACAGTGACAGATGACAGATTTTCTTCACGGTCATTGGGCTGTAACAAACCCAGTTCAGGTCACAGATTGAAAACAAACCAGATCTTTATGAGGAAAACAATGGAGGAATTATTTTCAATCATAATTTTTCTTTCATGTTGAGTGTTCACTTGATAAATGAGCTGTTCTTTCAGATGAATCAATATGGCTGAAGAACAGTCATTTGAAGAACAAATTCACTGAAGATTTTTCTAACTTTGGTATTCAGCCTATTCCAACGCAAAATAAACACTGAAGAAGAGACACTGAGAAATGGGCCTTTTTTGTTAAATCTATATTTTTATCCAACTTTACTTCTTCTTTCTGCTTTTCCCTTTTCAGGGGAATTGGGACTGGCACAAAACTTGTGCTCCCTAGTGACTGGTTTCAACATTGCACGTTACACACGTAAACAGGCTTTCCCCCCCATATTTACAGCTGGCTGAATGTAAATGTCTGTATAGGAATGAAACAAATTTTCTTTTTCAGTTAATAAGTCGTCTGGTTTAGGACCAAGCAGCTGAAAGTGTTTCTCATACTGGAGTCCGACTTTGGTTTTCAGATCAGGACTCGGCGGCGGGTTCAGTTCTCACTCAAACACTGCAGCAGGAGTTCTCTCTGATCAACCTGCAGATCAGAAATGTCAACGTGGAGGTGAGACCCTGACGGGTGGAGGGCAAGAGTTGT